TGGTTCCCCAACAGTTCTTAAACCACTTTCCCTAATTTTGGTGCCTCAATTAACGCAAACATTCTCTTCAGGCTACAACAGTGCGTTGCGTATGCCTTCATCATTGGAGTTTATATATGATATCAGTGTTCAACTAATTTTGAGTTTATAATCTTAAAAATTAGATGCTAATGAGCATTGAGTTATAAACTAATCTGCAGCCAAATTAGTGACACTCAAGTACTTACACTAACCCATGATTTATTTAGTTTTTTTGGACAAATTTTGATAACAAAACATGTATCAATGCATCATTCATCATTTCATAGTTTTTTTATTTATAAATATAAGTGATATTGTGAGAATGTGGGAATCAAACACGTGATCTCATCAGATGCATGTATAAATATTATTAACAACTGAAGATACATACCATCATTTGTTAACACTAATAAGGTTTTTCATCCCATTTTACATGGGTTAGGTTAGAAATACCACTTCTACTCTTCTAGTATTACAATTTATTTATTTTTCCTTTTAAAATTCTTCCACTCATACTCTCTTTCAATTTTGTGACTTGTTAGGTGTACTACACCAACAATTGTGTATTGTAATTGCAGCACATGGGAAAAACAAATATTGTTATAAGAATTTATGGGGAAGTCCCACTTAATTTCTTTTGTCCTAAGCAACCCAATTAGTTGGGAATACATATATGATGCACCCACCAAATCTAATTTCCAGATTCTATACAGTATAAAGTGGCTAAAGCTGAGACTGAGTATTGAGTACTAATGAGACATTTGGGCAAATGGGTAGTGGTTGGGTATGAAACTTTACTGAAATGACAACTTTCTTCTACATTGCCAAAAGCCCAAAAGGTGTATGAAACTTTGAAGTTGAAGTGAGAAAGATGAAGGGTAATTTAGGGTTCTTAGTTCCAGTCTTTCTATATAGTATATGGACTACAAAATGAAGCACACACTTTGGTACATATGATATAAAAATACTGACAAAGAAGCCCCAAAAGGAAAAGGTTAAAAATCAAAGGGTGCTGAATCAAATTATGGTAATTGGAGATTTGCCCCCACCATGAGAATTCTGTCAATGCCACCAAAAGCAAGCCACATTTTTAACATTAGTCAAATCATAAGCACCATAGTCACAAGCACTTAATAATATTGTTTAGTGTTAATTTTCTTATACTTACTTTTTCTTTAATATTTAGGATCTGTAACTGTTAATTTAATCTAACGAGCAGAATATTAAGAGAAAAACGCTAGCTACTTTTTCTCGATTTGTCTTTCTAGATTATATTTTTTTACCTAATATTTTGACATGTGAATTCCACTTAAACAATAAACAAAATACGAATTAAAAAGATGAACGGGAGAATGACAAATGAGAACGATAGCCAGCAATTTGATATTAAAAAAGTAATTAGGGTTATAAGGAGCTAGTAATAGGATAATGACTCAATTGAAAGAAATGGAAAGTAGAGTAGAGTAGCCATGATTTCGTTGGTTGTCTGTGAAAGGTGAGTGTTAACTAACTAAAGCTTAATTAAATAATTAACTGAAATTGATTCATGTACATGAGATAGAAATTAAAAGGCTGCTATTCATTTCATATTGTGACATTTCCTCTGTGTGCACGTGAGCAGTTTCCTTCAGACTTTTTATTCACAGTTTACGCCAGAAATAATAACATTTGCTTCTAATGTTAATCATGATTATCTCAAGTCTACAAGAGTTTTCCACATGCTTTAAACCAAATTATGACAATGTTTCTTTTTTCAACACAAGCGAGACATTGGAAAAGGAGGATTCGAACACGGGACCTTAAAAATTAGTAGCACGCGCTGGGATGTGGGGGCTTGTTTTTTTTTTTTGTCTTCGCCTAGAGTCCCTAGAATCTTGCTCAGTTTTTATCTGATGCAGATGATGGATCATGAGATCATGCATGAAGCCAAGCTGCAACTACAAGTAATCACAAACAAAACAATTATGAATTCCAATCCAGCAGTCAATAGCATCAGCCCCAAAAAAACAAAAACAAAAACAAAAAAGGAAAAACCAGCAGACTGAAAGTGGACCACGTGACTAGAACAAGTCTTGTAAGACTAGAAGTTGATCAGATTTTTTTCTCCTGCTCAGTCTGTTCCAAATATATGCATATAATTCAATCAGACTCTCTGAGTGAAGACTAGGTCTGATCAGTCACCAACTTTCACGGATTTCGCAGGATCATGTGATGAGCTGAATGAATGGTCCAACTCTCATCACCTTCATTTTGTTTTTGGTTTTGTTTTCTTGTGTTGTTCTGTTTTTCTTTTCATCTATGACAAGGTACCATTTAACCAAATTTGAAAGTAAAATAAAATAAACTTCCTTGTACCAATCAATTACCCAACATGCTAAGATTCTGGGTTTGTTTGGTAATTGATCGGGTATATGAGAGTATGGCAGCATTCTCTCATTGGACTCAATATTAGACTCATTTGTCACTTGGTGGGATGGGAGACGTGCTCCATTTCTCATCCTTTTCCAGCCTCAAATTTCTCCTATTTTATGTCATGCACAATCAGTAAAATCCCATAGTGAATTTTCTTAGCTTCATGGGGTAAGAGACTCAACCTAAAATCAGTTGGTGACGAGTGGAAAGGTCCATTATCTTTATATGCGTACAATTACTCTGTACTTTTTTAAATTTGGGATAAACTCGCAACACTATACTAAAAAGTAAATGTGAGTTTAAATTTATAATTAAAATTACTTGGGACATCTTCCAATCTCATAAAGAATTCTCACCTTCAGAAAGAGAAGAATATCATTAGACTAAAATTGCAAAACTTTGATAAGATATGGGTGAAATTTACATAAAATTAAGAGCATCTCCAAGGGAGATGTCAAATACCAAACATCAAATTTAAATTTGATGGCTGATGTGGCAATTTGACATTTACATACTTTTACACTCCACCCGATATGTCAAATAAATAATTATTGTAACAGTCAAATCATTTAAGATAAAGAATAAAAAAAATAAAAAAGAAAAATAATAATTGAAAGTAGTAGTCAGCTGTCTTTAAAAAATAATAAAATATTCATTTGACATCTTGCTTTTGAGATGTCAAAAATAACATCTCAACCTCTAGCCTTCATTCCACATCAGCATATCGGTTGGAGTGATGTGAGATGTTATTTCTAGCTGTTAAACATCTATGTGGCACATTTGACACATCGGTTGGAGATGCTCTAAGAGGAGATACTTTTTGACTTCCCACTTTTTTTTGTTTTTATAGAAAGCAAACTAACTTCACTCAAATCAGATAAACATCATACAAACAGCCAAAGTTACTGAAAATTTGTAGTGCAACTAAATATCTATCATGTGAAATAACAGTGAAAGTAAATAATTTCAATATTTATTTCTGTGTGAGAAATGAAGCGTGCCAATCGAGGAGCTGACCTCTGTAGTAAAAATTGGTGGTCCATGGATCATACTATTTGGTTTGAAACTATATTGATTATGTGACAGTCTGGTTCCAATAACATAATTTGGTTTGAAACTATAGAATTTGGATAATTCATTGCCAGTTGTGATTATCAATTCTTTCGATGTTATGATGCTGATTCTGTTGAAGCAGTAAGATGAAAATAGGCCCAGTAAGTGCTTGTCTTTGGTAAGAAAAGAAAACAACAAGGACCACAAGCTTGCAAAGCCCCAACAGCCAGCACTGGCATGGCTGCATGGGTTAGGAAATTTAGAAGAAAAAACAAAGAAAGATAATTAACTAGTTAGGCTACTACTGCAAGAGTAGATTATAAGAAAATTATTTCAACATCTCAACTACTTCATCATGCTTTAGTTTTTAATTTGCACTACCTCTAATTATATAACGACGCGTGGTGAATTGAGATGATACAAAAAACAGTACTTTTATAATAAGTCAATTGCGTTAATCATTCTCCTGAAGGTTAAGTTCACACCAATAATTACAGCATTAGCCATGGATTTCACATAATCCCCCACTGCTAATCATATATCCTCTTTCTGTGAGTTGATTGCAACTAAAATCAACATTTCTTTTTTGGTCGAAATAAAATGAACATTTTATGTAAAAACTAAGAAAGCAAAGGAAAAAAGAGATTGATAATGAGTAGCATTGGAATAGGGAAGATTCTTGTATAAAGAGAGTGTCTTCCTATGATTAGTATTATATTTCCTTTCCCTTTTACAGCAGAAGAATGAGTGGGGAGAGGGAGAGAGACAGAGACAGAGAGGCATAGTTGGTGAGCAGTCAGTGTTAGTGACCTCTGCCGACAAGGATTTCTGTCTCTCACAAAAAAAGAGTAATTAGGGGGTAATTAATATATTAATACCATAATTAATTCTGTCTACATTTCTACTCACTTCACTCAACCATCCAAAAGTGAGAGAGAGAGAGAGAGACCCACAAGAATACTTGATTGTGAGGTGGTGGGTGTGAGTTGGTGAGTTTTGAAATTAACCCCAGCAGATAAAGAGAGAAATTTGCTAGCTGTGTGCAGTTTCTTGAGAAGAAAAAAAAAACAAAAAAGAAAGATCTGCGGTGCAGAGAGCAGAATGAGAACAGCATGCATGAAAAGATGCTGAAAGAACCTGTTATAGGTCTCCCTACTTGGGAAACTACTTTACCTGGAATGAAAAAAGAGCAGGTGACTAGCTATTTTGTCAATCGGTTGGTTCCCATAGTCATTACCAAATAGTACGGCTGTACCATATACCATTCTGCAATATGTACAATATTTGTTTTTGCGACTCTTTTCACTAATAAAGATCTCCATAATTTATCTTCTCAATTTCGACTCAATTACAAGTAATAGGTAATTACGTGACGTAGATTTACACAAGATTTGTGTTCCGGAATAAAAAATGAGAGTTATTATTGACATTCTAGAAAAGTCGCCTTATATTTCTTTCATACGTTTTTGTAAAGAAAGAGTGCATGATGATTTTTCTTAAATTAACGATAAGAGTTCCAAAAAGAATAAATAAATAATTATGTGTAAACCATGTGGTTGTAAACAAGTGATTAGACAACTACATATACATAGAGACGATATCGATGCATGCATCAGTTTCGAAGACCACTAGCTGTTAAATATGTAGTTTTTCAACTCCAAGAGGACTAAACAAGTCAAGGACCCAAATGAAAAATGAGCCTAAAACTTGGACTGTTGCATCGTTCTCAAGCATCTTCTGTGTTGCTTCATGCCGACAGTCTTCTTTTGCAATTGGGTTCTTTCAACACCTTTCTTGCAATCATGGGAAGCATCGCCCAATTACACTCTCTCTGCATGAACAACTTTCATGAAGCTTTGGAATGTTTAAAAGAGAAGTTATCCCAAAAACAAAGCTCTGTGATTTGATTTGATGGCAGAAAAGAAACCCTCTGATCCTATCTCCATGACCAAACCAAAGCTTGGAAAAAGACTTCCACTTCTCTCAGTTTTTTTTTTTTTCATGGTGATGTGGGGGCTCCACTTTTTCGAAGGACACAAAAACCAGAACCAAATAAAAGTGGATGAGATAGAAACAGTTAGAAGTGCTCCTCCAGCTCTAAAGCTTTTTATGCTTGAGGTCTTTACAAGGCTGTTGTTGACCCCCACACTTTCTGAAACTCAGCTTGCCATTCACCCAACCCATTTAGTGCAAAGCTCTCTGCTCCTCTCTGCAAAGGACACGTCATTGCAGAAATTTCAGGTCAAAAATCCTTTCTTTGGATCCCTTTTTGGCAAACCCTTCTTTTGTCATGGTCCAATGGTTATGCTAACAACCAACCATCTTAAGGTGGCCTCTCCAGTCCAATAATATCTTTGTCGAATGCTTCTGCCAAAAAAGAGAGGAGATAACATTAGCATAATTCTATCCAGCTAATTATGCAGCTCAAATAACTGTAGTTAGTGATTTCACATCTAAACAGAAGTTGTCAACACATAGTAAAACTTTTCTGCTTTGGCAGATTGGATAAATCCAAACTCCAAACCCACAACATTTCTGTGATTAGACTCGAAGAACAACTTGATTCAAGTCCTTCAGGAACCTAAAGAAAAGTAAATTCAACACCAGAAGTGGAAAGAAACTGAAATTTTTATGAGTTGGGTTTTTGACTGGGCAGGTATTTTGATTGAAGAAGTAAAAGGCATGTCTAAGCATAACAAATAGAGATATTCATAAGAAACAAGATCGTTCAGTCATTTTATTGTCTTGGTACGAGGATGTTGATTGAATAAGACCTCTGGATAAGCAAATGAGGACCGCAAAACCCTCTGGCTTCTAATTCCTAAAAGATAAGCTGCAAGGTTTTGGGTGAAACCCTTCTCATGATTCTTCACCTACAGAACAAAGGAAAAGGGTTTGACTCCACACTTTAATCTAAAATTTCAGTTGGACTGTTGGACGATTTTGAAGATTAATTTTGCAACTTTTTCAGACAGAAAGTCAATCCCCTTTGTAGAAAATATACTTCATCAATAATGGCAACATGGAGGAGCTATTATTATGACAGTTGAATTACAGAAGAAAGCACCTTCTGCTTAGGATGCAAAAAATGGCTCCTGCAGTTTAAAAGCAAGATAATTGATGCAGTCAGTGATACCTTGTTCAGAAAGAAGAAAAATCACATAATTGCATTACGCAAATTACAAGCCAAATCAAAATAGCTACATAATCTATCCATGAGAATAAACTCTATATTAGTTCTTTAATTATAGCTTAATTAGTTTAAACTCTATTTTAAAAAGCAAAAGGAGGAAAAAGAAAAGGTCAATCTGGAGATTTGATATTAAAACAAAGGAGAAATAATAAAACCTTCCCCTTTACAAAATATTATTTATCTCAAAGTACTTGAGGTACAAAAATTTTACAACATCCTTCCTGTTCTTAGCTCAGCATCCTCTTTCTTGACAAACAAGAAGTGTTCCTTTTCAGCAAACCCAAAAACTTCAAAATCATGCTAGGGTGAAAATGGGCAGTGGCTCAAATCATGAGGCTGTGCAGTACTAGAAATACAAATTCAATCCCTACAG